ACACACACACACGCACACGCACACATATATGAAAATTAGCCAGGCCTGGTGATGTGCCCCTGTACTCCCAGCTACTCAGGAGGCTGAGGTGGGAGGAGCAGCTGAGCTTGGGAAGTTGAGGCTGCATTGAGTCATAGTCACACCACTACCCTCTAGCCTGGGTGAAGGGAGTAAGACCCTGTTTTTGTTGTTGTTGTTTAAAAAAAAAAATAATGCAGACCCTGTAGAATCTGTAAAATTTGTGCCATTGACTGTGTAAGGAGGGGTGGCTTTCTCCTCTGTCACACTTGGGCAGTGTCGGAAGCTCCTGTCGCTTTGCTGCACTATTTTCACATTCTTTTTCCAAGCATTGGGAACATTCATTTTGAAAACTCCATTTCAACTACATAGACAAATCAACCTTAAAATTTGATAGTACAACTCTGATTGCAGGCTTTGTCAAAAACAAAAAATTCTTTTTATTATGAAAAATGTCAAGTGTACACAGAAGTAGAATAGCTTCAAGCTTGTGAGCTGGTATTAAAAAAAAAGAAAGAAAAAGCCAGGCATGATGGCTCACACCCCCCGTCCCAGCACTTTGGGAGGCCAAGGCGGGCGGATCACCTGAGGTCAGGAGTTCAAGACTCGCCTGGCCAACATGGGGAAACCCTGTCTCTACTAAAAATACAAAAATTAGCCAGGTGTGGTGGCGGGTGCCTGTAATCCCAGCTAATCTGGAGGCTGAGGCACAAGAATCGCTTGAACCCGGGAGGCGGAGGTTGCAGTGAGCCGAGATCACGCCATTGCACTCTAGCCTGCGTGTGACTGAGTGAGACTTCATCTCCAAAAAAGGGAACAATACAACCATGAACCCTGTGTACACATCACTCAGATTCAACATCAGCATTTTTTGGCTGGGCACAGTGGCCTGTAATCCCAGCACTTTGGGAGGCTGAGGTGGTAGGATTGCTTCAGTCCAGGCCTTCAGAATCAGCCTGGGCAACATAATGAGACCCCATCTCTAGAAAAAATAACAAAATGGGCGTGGGGTACATGCCTGTAGTGGCTACATGGGAGGCTGAGGCAGGAGGATTGCTTGAGCCTAGGAATTTGAGGCTGCAGTGAGCTATATTTGTACCACCACACACCAGCCTGGGCAACAGAGCAAGACTCTGTCTCAAAGAAAGAAACCAAGGCCTGACACGGTGACTCATGCCTGTAATCCCAGCACTTTGGGAGGCCAAGGCAGGCGGATCACGAGGTCAGGAGATCGAGACCATCCTGGCTAACATGATGAAACCCTGTCTCTACTAAAAATACAAAAAAATTAGCCGGTGCGGTGGCACGTGCCTGTAGTCCCAGCTACTCAGGAGGCTGAGGCAGGAAAACGGTGTGAACCCTGCAGGCGGAGCTTGCATTGAGCCGAGATGGCACCACTGCACTCCAGCCTGGGCGGCAGAGCGAGACTCTGTCTAAAAAAAAAAAAAAAAAGAAACCAAAACATTTTGCCACAGTTGTTTTATCTCATCCTTTTTAAGTATCCCTCCCTTGTCCTTCTCTCCCTTCTTTTTTTTTTTAATGCTAAACTCTGCTATCTATCTCTTCATTCTTTCCTTTCTTTGCCAAATAATTTTAAAGCGAATCTCGGACCCCTCACATTCTACCCACAAATACTTCAGCATGCATTTCTTCCGACATAATATAGCACCATCATCATGTCTAAGCAAATTAACAATAAGTTTTTACAATAATACTCAGCCCATATCCAAGTTTTCTGGAGTATCTCAGAAATGCCTGTCCCATTGGGCTGTTTGAATTGGCTCTGTTGCGTTTGCTGTTATGTTTCCAGAGTCCCTTTTCCACCAGGCCTCTGCCCTTTTCTTCTTTTATTTTTATTTATTTTTTATTTATTTTTTTTGAGATGGAGCCTCTGTCTGTCACTCAGGCTGGAGTGCAGTGGCACGATCTTGGCTCACTGCAACCTCTGCCTTCCCAGGTTCAAGCGATTCTCCTGCTTCCGCCTCCCGAGTAGCTGGGATTGCAGGTGCACGCCACCACACCAGGCTAATTTAATATATTTTTTTTTAGCAGAGGCGGGCTTTCACCATGTCGGCCAGGCTGGTCTCAAACTCCTGACCTCAAGTGATATGCCTTCCTTGGCCTCCCAAAGTGTTGGGATTACAGGCTTGTGCTGCCGCGCCCAGTCATTTGCCCATTTTTTTCTGAAATACCTTTTGTGGGCTTTTAAAACAAAGCAGAACCAAAACCTGTTTCTTTCTTTTTTTGTTTTGTTTTGTTTTGTTTAATACTAAAGTGTACACTGGTTCTAAGAAATGTGGGACCTTCGGAGATAAGGGAGGGTGTGTGCCCCTCCACACCCAGGGAAGCCACTGGAAGTTAACCTTGGTTTGTTTTGCAAAAAGCTGTTTAAAAATAACTCTCCCCTACCATTGCTCTCTGTATAGGCGAGTGTCTCCCTCAAACGCCTGAGGATCTTTCTCTCCCATGAGGAGCTGGAACCTGACAGCATCGAGCGACGGCCTGTCAAAGACGGTGTGTGTGTGTTCGGTCCTGCTTTCTGGAAGCGGCCGCCTTCCCATCTCCCACCGGGTCCTCCCTACTTGCGGTTGTTTCCCTTGGCTGCCCTCAGGTCTGACTCTGCCCAGCCGCTTGTCTGCGAGAGCCCGGGAGACAAGGCTTCCGCAGAGCCGGCAGAAGGGAAGGGAAGCCTGGCCGCCTAGGCCTCTGTCCCATCTTACACTTCCCAGGAGGGCGAACTTGCACTCGCATTCTTGTTTTCTTGCTGAGGGGCAGCGGCTGCTTGAGGCTTCCTCCTGGGAGTCACTTTCCAAGGCTTTGACCTTGATTCTATTCTGGGCTAAACGAGGACTCTGGAGGCTGGCCAGCCTCCACCACCCACAAGCTGTGCAGACTTAGGTCTGAGGCTCAGTTTTATCTAGATAAGGAAAACAAAAGTACCTTTCTTTGGCACAGTGTTACTTGGATTTTTTTTTTTTTTTTTTTTTGAGACAGGGTCTCATTCCATCGCCCAGGCTGGAGTGCAGTGGCGCAGTCACGACTGTCACTGCAGCCTTGATTTCGCGGGCTCAGGTGATCCTCCGACCTCAGCCTCCCAAGTAGCTGAAACTGCAGGCACACAGCACCATACTTGGATAATTTTTTGGTATGTTTTATAGAGACAGGGTTTCGCCATGTTGTCCAGGCCGGTCTCGAGCTCCTTAGCTCAAGCAATCCACCTGCCTTAGCTTCCCAAAATGCTGGGCTCATAGGCATGAGCCACTTCTCCTGGGCTTTTTTTTTTTTTTTTCAATATTAAGTTTTTTTATTTGGAGAGACAAGGTCTTGCTTTGTTCCTCAAGTTGGTCTTGAACTCCTGGGCTCAAGGATCCCTCTGCCTCAGCCTCCCAAAGTGCTGGGATTACAGATGTGAGCCACCGCACCCGGCCATGCATTTTTATTGACAGGTTTGTTTATTTTGTAGCTTGTTTATTTATCCTTTCCCAGCCCATCCCCCTGAGCCAGGGATCTTGTTTGCAACCATCTCTCGAGGCACTTAATAACAAATATTAGGTCAGGCACAGTGGCTCACGCCTGGAATCCCAGCACCTTGGGAGGCTGAGGTGAGTGGATCACTTGAGGTCAGGAGTTCGACACCAGCCTGGCCAATTTGGTGAAACCCTGTCTCTACTGAAAATATAAAAATTAGCTGGACTTGGTGTTGGGCACCTGTAATCCCAACTACTCGGGAGGCTGAGGCGGGAGAATCATTTGAATCCAGGAGGCGGAGGTTGCAGTGAGCCGAGATCACACCACTGTAGTCCAGCCAGGGCAACACAGGGAGACTCCATCTCAAAAAAAAGAAAAAAATTAATATTAATGTCTCAAAGTGCAGTGACACGTTCACTTATAAAGCCCTTGTCATGCATGTTCTGTTTGAAGGATGTCAATGTCCCAACTTGTCCATTACTCACTGTGGCACCCCTGGAGGAGGGTGATGGAAACCCCCCTTTTCTAGGTGAAGAAACTGGCCTCTGAAACTTGCCTGAGATTGCACAGCTGATCAAAAGAAGAGCTAGGATTCATACTCACAGCCCGTCGGTCGAGTCCATGCTCTTCCTGGCCATAGCATATTGTCTCACTGATATTTACTGAGCACCTACTATGTGCCAGGCATTGTCGGAAGTGCTCTGTGTGCACTGCCTCATAGACACCCCACCACAGCCCTCTGAAGTTGATTGCATGGTTGTCAACCGTATTTTATAGATGAAAAAGTGAGGCACAGGCTGGGTACAGTGGCTCGTACCTATAATCCTAGCACTTTGGGAGGCCAAGGCTGGACGACTGCTTGAGGCCAGCAGTTTGAGACTACCTTGGGTAATGTAGTGAGACCTCATCTCTACAAAAATTAAAAAATTAAGTAGGCATGGTGGTGTACCTGTAGTCCTAGTTACTTGAGAGACTGAGGCAGGAGGATTGGCTGAGTCCAGGAGTTGAAGGCTATAGTGAGCTATGATCATGCCACTGTACTCCAGCCTGGGCATCAGAGTAAGACCCTGTCTCAAAAAAAAAAAAAAAGAGAGAGAAAAAAGTCACAGAGAAGTTAAATAACTTGCCCGTGGCTACTGAGCTGCGAAGTGGTTGTCCCAGGATCCAAACTCATACAGTCTGGCTCCAGAGTCCAATGAATGTGGTCAGAAGATTGAATGTGTGTAAATGTCGGTTATACCGCGTGAGCTGTGTCTGGCACCTCGCAGGCGCTCAGGTATCTTTAGTGGCACTAAAACATTTGACACGTTTGACACAGCACCTGGTGCATAGAAGATGCTAAACAGATCGCAGGAGTCGTCCCTTCTCTGGTCTGAGCGAGACGATCTCAGCATCTTCAGCTCAGCCAGCCCTTGGTGTGGGGTTTCTTATCCTGGGCACTACTGACATCTGGAGTCACATTATTGTTTGTGGCTGGGGACTGTCCTGTGCACTGTGGGATGCTGAGCAGCAACGCTGGACTCTACCCATTAGATATAGTAGTACCCACCCCAATTTTGACAACCAAAAATGGCTCCAGACGTTGCCAGATGTGCCTTGAGAGGCACAGTTGCCTCCAGTTGAGAACCGTGGCCCAAGTGGATGCTGGATTCCTCCTCCCAACACCCCTAGGCTGTGGTCATCTGGTTTCTGCTGTCCCAGTGTGCCACATCCCCTCACATGATAAGGGAGTGATTCCATCTACTCTGGGGTCAAATTTCTCTGCTGAACACAGGCTGAAATTTGAGGCGGCCGGCGGTGGGGGGCTGGTTTCTTGCTTCTGAAGTTGTTCACGACTCAATGCAAGCATCAGGAAACCCCTAGGCCCCTGGGTGCCGCCCGCACCCCAGGCCCTCTTTCCTGCCCTAATAGTGGCCTCCTAGGTGGTTGGACTTTCTGGAATGTTTAGCATGCTCTAGCCAGTGAGGGCCCCCTTTGGCTGCTCCCTGCTCCCAAGCTAACCGTTCTCTGCAACCTCTCGCTCCAGTGGCTTTTCTTAAATTCCTTAAATAGCAACTCCCAGTTTCCTCATTCCATGCCCTCTCTTTTAGAAGAGCTGAGGGAGAATGTTAATCTAGGTTAACCAATGACTTCCTCTCTCTCTAGGTTTTTTGTTTCTTTGATGCATGGAGGAAGTTATTTCTTCACTTGACAACTTAAAGAAAAACTCCTGTATTATCTCCAGATGGTCTTAAGGTGGCTCATAATTCAGAGAGTTGCTTTTCTGCTTCTTTTTTGTTTTTTTTTTTCTTTTTTGAGACAGAGTCTCTCTATTGCCCAGACTGTAGTACAGTGGCACGATCTTGGCTCTCTGCAACCTCTGCCTCTCGGTTTCAAGCGATTCTCCTGCCTCAGCCTCCCAAGTAGCTGGGACTACAGGCATGCACCACAATACCTGGCTAATTTTTGTATTTTTAGTAGAGATGGGGCTTCACCATGTTGGCCAGGCTGGTCTCGAACTCCTGACATAGGTGATCTGCCCACCTCGGTCTCCCAAAGTGTTGGGATTATAAGCATGAGCCACTGTGCCCAGCCTGTTTTTCTTTTTAGTGAGAGACATGAAGTAAAAGGAAAATAATGGGAAGAAGAGTAAAAGAAGACAGGTGCTAGGAGCCTTAGAAATGTGGAGCTGGCTGGGCACTGTGTCTCATGCCTATAATTCCAGCACTTTGGGAGGCCGAGGCCAGCAGATCACTTGAGGCCAAGAGTTCGAGACCAGCCTGAGCAACATGTCAAGACCCCATCTCTACAAAAAATACAAAAAAATTAGCTGGGCATGATGGTGCACATCCTGTAGTCCCAGTTGCTCAGGAGGCTGAAGTGGGAGAATTGCTTGAGCCTGGGAGATGGAGGTTGCAGTGAGCTGAGGTCGCACCACTGCACTCCAGTCTGGGTGCAGAAGCCAGATCCTGTCTCAGAAGAAGATAGAAACACGGAGCCGTATAACGTGGGCTTTGTCTCCAACGCTCTCCCCTCCCCTGTGCCCTCATACCACACTTCCTGTTCCGTATCCTCTTTTTTTTGAGTTTATCGTGATGGGTGTTTTAGAAAGACCCACCTGCTGTGATGTGATGTGTGTAGGGTGGTGTGGCTGGGGGAGGAAGAGAGAGAGAGAGGACATGGGGAGAAGGGTGAATGACCTTCCTTTGAACCTCAAGGAGGGCCCAGCGGTCTGATGCAGGCCACCCCGATGGAGAGAGGTTTGCATGTGGACGCCAGCTGTTTCCCACTGACTTTGGCCACTGCTGGGACCTCCCAGCTGGAGCTGCCCCGAACCTGCCTGAGAAGGGCCAGGGCGTGCAGAGCGTTGAGTAACCCGCGTGGGGCCCCCGCCTCTGCAGTCGTTTCCCGAGATGAGCGTCTGGATGGCGCAACCCCGTCTTTCAAGGACAAAGCTTCTTGCAGTTTCCTTCTGCTTTCTGGGTCTGGGGCTGCCTCCAAAACTGCAGGTTGGGGTTCTTTCAGAACCTGTGACTGATGTCACCAGATAATAATGCCTAGCGTCATTCTCGTCGAGCGTCTGGGGTTGAACCACTCAAGCAAAGAGAGCACTCTGCTCACGCGGAGTCCCACAGTTCAGCCTGTGCCTGACGTGTCGTCTCTGTGCTTTGTAGGCAGGGACACGAACAGCATCACCGTGAGGAACGCCACATTCACCTGGGCCAGGAGCGACCCTCCCACGCTGAATGGGTAAGCCGGGATGTGGACACGTGATGGCGTGGAGAGAGCCACAGGGTTTTTATCAAACATGGATTTGAATTCCCACCGTGCTCCATCTCCGTGACCTTGAACAACTCACTTTGCCCTTCTAAGACTTAGCTTACCCATCTGGAAAATGGGTGCAGATACACCTGCTTAGGCTGGCTTGAGAAGCAGACACAGAGGTGCCTAGCACAGAGGGTTCCCTCTGATTGTGAGTCATAGCAGCCTTGGACAGATAGACAACACAGGAGATTCTTGGCTTGCTTCACTGGGAAGTTCTACTTTCAGGTATGGTGTGACCCAGGGATTCTGCCATTGGGACTTTCTTCATATTTTCTGTGTTTCACTTTCTCCTGGTCTGCTTTATCCTCACGCATCCTCTCCCCTTGTGATGGCAAATGGTCTCAATAGCTCCCACTGTGTATCCTACTGTTAGGAGAACTGCCTGCTTCTTGCTGACCCAGACTTGGTCCTCTGCCCTCTGTGGGCCAGTCACTATGCCTGCAGACACGGAGCATGCTGATTGGCCAGTCTTAGAGGCTGCGATGCTGCTGAACTCCAGTGCCCCTCAGCTGCCCAGCTCACCCTTTCTTGCCAGCTTTCTGCCTGGCACCCCACACCCTACAGTCCTTACCTTTCCAAAGCACATGGTGTCTAGGAAATCGACCTTACCCCCAGGCAACTTGTCAAGCATATTTCATTTTTTTCTGACCAGAGGCCTTGATCAACAGCTTTTTAGGCCCCCTTAAGGAATCTGCAAAACACAGGGGTGATGGGACCCTTTTAGAGCTTTAGTTCATGCCTGGGTAGCCAAATCAGTGTTGTGTTTTATCGTGTAGGAGACAAACTCTCCAGAGAAAAGAATCTGTATGACGCCTGCATTGAAAATTCATGGTGGTACTGCATGCTTAGGAAGTTCTTCCTTATGTCTAACTTAAATCCTGCCTGCTTCAATTGTAGCTGTTCTCTCTTGTTGAGCTCCACAACTAATCTGTATGTGTCCCTTTCGTGACCCAGTGGTTTTCCTGTTGCAGTTACGTTCCCCCCATGAGCCCCCAGAACCTTTCTTTAACCCTTTCTCTCATCAGCCTATAAGAGTATTTCAGTGTTGGCCGAGCGCGGTGGCTCACGCCTGTAATCCCAGCACTTTGGGAGGCTGAGTCGGGCATCATGAGGTCAGGAGATCAAGACCATCCTGGCTAACATGGTGAAACCCTGTCTGTACTAAAAATACAAAAAAATTAGCTGGGTGCGGTGGTGGGCGCCTGTAGTCCCAGCTACTTGGGAGGCTGAGGCAGGAGAATGGCCTGAACCTGGGAGGCAGAGCTTGCAGTGAACCGAGATTGCGCCACTGCACTCCAACGTGGGCAACAGAGTGAGACTCTGAAAAAAAAAAAAAAAATTTTCAGTCTCACATGGACAGTTGCAGGTACTGTCTCACTGGGATTCCTGCCTACTCAGGCCCCATAATCCATTCTCCTCCCAGCACAGGAACAAAATGCCTGATAAGTATCACCATGCAACAGTGTCATAAGAATGAAACAATTAGTGACAGCAACGACTATCAGCATTTCCACTAATACTCTGAAATCAGAAAGGTGGCAGTTAAAAAGCACATAATCCCAGCACTTTGGGAGGCCAAGTTGGGCAGATCACCTGAAGTCCAAAGTTTGAGACCAGCCTGGTCAACATAGTGAAACCATGTCGCTACTAAAAATAAAAAAATTTGCCAGACACGGCTCACGCCTGTAATCCTAGCGATTTGGGAGGCCGAGGTGGGCGGATCACCTGAGGTCAGAAGTTCAAGACCAGTCTGACCAACATAGAGAAACCCCGTCTCTACTAAAACACAAAAAATTAGCCAGGCGTGGTGGTGCATCCCTATAATCCCAGGTATTTGGGAGGCTGAGGCAGGAGAAATGCTTGAACCTGGGAGGCGGAGGTTGCGGTGAGCTGAGATTGCGCCATTGCCCTCCAGCCTGGGCAACAAGAGTAAAACTCTGTCTCAGAAAAATAAAAAATAAAAAAATTAGCTGGGCATGGTGGTGCATGCCTGTAATCCCAGCACTTTGGGAGGCTGAGGTAGGCAGATCACTGGAGGTCAGCAGTTTGAGACCAGCCTGGCCAACATGGGGAAAACTCATCTCTACTAAAAATATAAAAATTAGCTCTACGTGGTGGCACCTGCCTGTAATCCCAGCTACTTGCGAGGCTGAGGCATGAGAATCACTTGAACCTGGGAGGTGGAGGTTGCAGTGAGTCAAGATCAAGCCAATGCACTCCAACCTGGGCCACAGAGTGAGACTCCGTCTCAAAAATAAATAAATACATAAGTAAATACAGATAAAAAATAAAAGCATATTCCATGTAAGTGAGCCCAGCAAAGCCTTGGATGTGCCTTCCCTTCCCTGGGAGGATGGAAACCCTGCTCTGGCTGTGCCATTGGCAGTGGGAGTGGCCTGGGGTTGTCCTGCCCGATTGACAGCCACTGTTGCTGGGAGAATGTTGAGCTTGTTTTATTTTGCTTTCTACTGTTCGTTAAAGGATGATTTCAATAGAAACATCTTCCCAAAGTTCAACTCAGATTTATTCATGTCTGTCTCCCTTTTCAACCCTTTGGTGGCTCCTGGCTGGCAGAGTTCAGGTGTCTTAGCACAGCGTCTTCCAGGGCATCTTTCAGGGTGCTCCCAGGTCTGGCTACCACCTACCTTTGTGCCATCGCATCCCTGGTTACACCCCATGCCTTCACTCCTTTACACCTTTCTCCAGCTCTCCCCGTATTTCCGTGTCTTGGACACACTTGCTTTTCTGTCAGAGTTTTGATTTTTTTTTTCTTTTTTTTTTTTTTTGAGACAGAGTCTCACGCTCTTGCCCAGGCTGGAGTGCAGTGGCACGATCTCGGCTCATTGTAACCTCCACCTCTTGGGTTCAAGCGATTCTTGTGCCTCAGCCTCCTGAGTAGCTGGGATCACAGGCCCCTGCCACCATGCATGGCTAATTTTTGTGTTATCAGTAGAGACGGGGTTTCACCATGTTGGCCAGGCTGGTTTCGAGCTCCTGACCTTGTGATCCGCCCGCCTCAGCCTCCCTCCGCCCGCCTTGCTGGGATTACCAGCACTGGCATGAGCCACCGTGCCCAGCCCCAGTTTGTCTTGAGGTGTCCTCTCCTCTCAGACTTTGCCTCATGCCCCCAGTGAAGTTTCTGCCCCTCTTTCAGCTCAGTGTGACGGGATCCCTCAGGTTACTCTGTGCCTCTCTTCTCTAAGGTACACCTGTCACCTGCCTCCCACCTGGAGCGCCCCTGAGACGGGTCACTGAACTGAACTCAGCAGTGTTCAGTTGAGGCCTTCAGTGTTTAGTATGGCCGTGCCTTCTGTCTGTCTCTCTCTTTCTCTACTTGGGGTAAATCGAGGCTCAGTGACCAGGGGCATCAGCC